CCACTCCTTCCCCAGTCGGAGATTCCAGCCACTGAGAGAAATGGCTTTTGTGATTCTTCCTTTTACATGAATAGTTCTTATACCATAGGTGACTAGCACTACAGTCTGTGACAAAATGCAGATTCTGAGACCAACTGTAGAAAGTCTGACTTAGCAGGTCTAGGCTGCAGCCCAGAGTATGCAGTTTTATAAGCATCCCAGGTGATTCTGATGCAGATGGTCTATGGGCCACAGTTTTGAAAGTTGAAGGAGGAAGTAACCGAGGATGTTTTTGATGGAGGACTTCCCTCTCCAGCTTCATGCTAAAGATGTCCTCATTTACTCTCAGTGGCTGGAATCTCCGACTGGGGAAGGAGTGGATGAAATTGTGGGAAATTGCCTATTTTCGTTTCTTTTTAAATTCAAGCAGAGAGTATACAAGCTGAAAGATTTGTTTGGGGCTGTTTTGAGGACCAAAGAAGTCAATCAAGAGATAATAAAGAAGCTAGTATTGGTAAGAGATGGCTGATTAGGAGCCATCTCCTTAAGGTGTTCCCTTCCTTAGTGTTAGACAAACTTGGGTCACATGCCCCAGCAAGCTGTGTTTTTAATGGAAAAAATAGAAAGTTAGAATGCACGTGTAGGGGAAATGAAATGTAAATCGTCCCTCTGGGGAGTGGGGTTTGGAATCTTGCTGAGCATTTGATGCAAATGATAACTGTGCATGTGCGCCCAGGTGTTCCTTGGCTATTGTCTGTGGGTGCATGTGGGCACCCAGGTGTTCCTGGGTTATTGGACTTAAGTATAAAGGACAAACAGCTCTGATCCACAGTGTCCTCGGGATGCTCCAAGAGGCCACCAGGGCTGCTGCTGCTAGCTACGTGAGCTTGCATATGAATAAAGCCTATTAATTTTTACCCACGGCTCCCAGGATCTTTTCTCTATTACTTAGTTCATGGACCTGCAGATGAGGGGTTTGTGACACAGTCTGTACAGTGGGTTGGAAGGGTCTGTGGGCCCTAGCCCTAGCAAGACAACTGGCTACATCAGCAGGATTCTGACAGTTGCCTTAACCATACAGCACATCATTGCCTAAGTGTAGGTATCGTTCTGTGAAATCGTTGGTGTGTGTGCATGTGGATTGGTACTGGTTTGTGATGTAAAATGTGTTTCTTACTGAGAGTCACGGTCAGACAATCCAGTAACATCTGCCCCACTCTGTAATGACTCGGGGGAGATATTCTAAGTTCCTGTATTTCTGAGAATTTCTTTGATGTGTGAGTGATGTGGACCACACTGCTCAGTGGGGCATGTGCGGCAATTGGCAAGAGCTCACAAAATTCATTTCCTCACCAGTCTGCTGCCCTGCAGCC